TGACCATCCCAAGACCAAGTTACACCTGTTGCCCATAATTGAGGAACCCTTCCACCGAGTGGACTTGATAGGCCCTCTCAGTAAGCCCTGCACCTTGGGCAAGAAGTACATCCTCACCGTGGTAGACTACGCTACCTGGTACCCAGAGGCAGTAGCACTCCCCAACATAGATGCTGAAATAGTAGCAGAAGCATTAGTTAAAATGTTTACTTGAGTGGGCTTTCCTCTGGAGATTTCGTTGGACCAGGAAACCCAATTTACCGCAACTGTTACCCAGCAATTTTGCAGAGTAAAACCCGTTTTTGTTTTCCGTATCACCGTAGATGAATGGACTCTGTGAACGTTTTAATGGCACGCTGAAACAGATGCTTAAAAGGTTCACAGCCTCCTGTCGGCACTGAGAAAGGTTCCTTCGACACCTCCTGTTCTCCCTGTAGTGGATTGGTGTCCTCAAAATTTCATGTTAATATGTGTTTCATGTAAGTATTCCTATGTATATCACATTGTATGCAGCATTCGACTGATTGTTCGGTAAAATCACTCTGTTCTTCATACGAATGAAACTACCGACATATCAGACCACTCCAGTGATAAGTGTGATAAGTGTGCCTCTCATTTACCTACGAAATGCCTTGTAAATGCAAACTAATTGGTAATTGCCTGTATCTCCGTGTGAACTGGTTGGGTGGCCGCCGTTCGGCATACGAACACGTGGCAGCGGCCATCTTGCATACAAACGCACATCGGTGTTTGGTCGTTGAGTGTCAGGGCTCCATAACTAACAAACAGAACCACGAACAAGCCCCTCATTCGCTTAAAATAAACTCCTGAACGAGGAGATTTTACCGAACCACCTCTGCCCTTGATGGCAGGGATTTTCGTGTCTTTTTATCCCGAACATAAACCGACCACAAGGCCAAAACTCATGGAAGCGATTTCAGCTTCTGCTGGGTGTGCGGTCTGTCAAAACTTCCCTTACACATAACTCCCGAACCCCTGGTCCGATCTGGGTGAGTTTTGAGTATGTTACTCACCCAGATCAGGGCTATCGGGGGATATAAGATTTAGGGGTGTACCCACAACAGAAGGGGTACATCCAGAAAGTGGAGAAAACTGTGTCCTGCATAATAGGATTATGTGTCATGCTGAGGGGAGGAGAAGTGTGGGTGGTAACTTTGATATTATTGGCTACTGTACTAATTATTGTGGGTGTCTCCCTTGCATGGGAGAATTGCTTAAAAGCTGACTGTATGGAATAAAAGTTTAGTTCTGCTCCTGATGCTGTGTGTCGTTCAGTCATTGGGAAACGTGTGGGATACTTTTGGATTGCTTTACTAATCTTGCATATTATTCTCTTGGGGTTTATTACTTGTTCCTGAGCCTTATTTGGATTACCAGCGGAGATAGTCTGTGAAAGACCAACACTCCACTACATTGGTTGGCAGCGCCGGGATCCAGACTCACAGAGGAACGAGTACAGATTGAGATTGACTATTCTACACTAAAACGCTCCACGCTAAAAGATCTCCTCGAAGCAAAAGGTATTCCAGACAGCAATAAAACTAAAGCTGTTTTCAGCGCAGAAGTCATGGCGGAATACTGAACAGATGGCGGTTCGGTTCCTGAACGCAGTGATTCGGCGGAAGGACGAGAGCAAGTGGAGTTTCAAAGGCAGCTACAGTTTAGGCTGTCCTTTTATGGGGAAAATCCACCGGCAGAGATCATCTCCAGGACAATGACAGAAGTCCAGGAGTTTGTAATGAGGCAAAGGATACCGTTAACCCCAGAACACAGCTCAGCAGGGACCACGTTACAAGAGGGTAAGCCAAAGATACCCTACCAAGCGTTTAAAATATATGTAGTGGCAGAGGAAGATATAGATGCCTTCCTCCAGGATTTTGAAAGCCTGTGTGCCTTGCATAAGATCAGTTCAGAGGATTGGGTCCCCATTCTAGCTGGGCGACTAACCGGGAGAGCAGCAGAAGCTTACCGCACTGTACCTGACGAAGAAATCCGTGACTACAGTCGGGTAAAGGAAATTATATTGGCCCGGTATGCCATCACACCAGAGGCATACCGAAGGCGGTTCAGGGAACTAAAGAAAGCGGAGAAAGATTCACATGCAGAGTGGGCTTGTAGACTACATCGGGCAGCCCTTGGAAAGACAGGCTACCAAAGCACGGTCCATGGAGGACATATTACAAATGTTGCTGTTGGAACAATTTTATGATGGGGTACCAACAGATGTCCAGGAATGGGTAAGGGACCGCAACTCTACATCCCTCACTGAGGCAGTTAGGAAAGCAGATGACTACATGGATGCTCGCAGACAGGGGGTGACAAGCTACGCCACCAACACAACAGCACCACCTCGACAACTACCACCCCCACCAGCCGCTTCCCAACCAAGGTTCCACCAGCCTAGCTCTGTGCAATGTCACCAGTGCCAGAAGTGGGGACACTACAAGCGAGACTGTCCCTGTTTAGACACCCCTGGTGTCTTTAAGGGAAACCGCCACTTAGTTAACCTTCCCCCTTCGCAATATCAATAACTCCATTTGCATAGACTGCAGTATACGAACCACCAACAGGGGAAGCGGTAATCTCCTGAACGGGATCCGTAAGAGGCTCCAAACTCCCGAACAGAAATCCACGAATCGCCACTAGCCGCCTGTGACAGATCCATATGTATAGACTAAGATTGCTGGATTTGTCTGTTTTGCCTTTTCACGAAATTACCTGTTTGTATGCCCCTGTTCCGTGAATTGACTTTTTCCGCCGAAGAAAACTACCGAACGGACGGCCACCCAGAAGAGAAGTGTGCTGCTGGTTAACCTATTGATCCCAATTAGAACGTTGCGGTTAACCACAGACACTTCTCAATTAAAACCGAATACAGGGTGGTCGTCGTTCATATGTCGACCAGGAGGCGGCGGCCATTTTAAACCATGCGAAAGACCTGCGGTGTTCGGCATTGATTTCATGGAACTGAAAACGGACACTTTTTCAGCCGAACACCGCTGAAGCCACCGACCTCCCTTCTCAATCGACAGAAGTGTGCGAACACCGGCCGTTCGGGAGGTTTAAATGCACGAATGGACTTACCCCAGATAGCGTTCCCATGGAGTCAATCGCATACCGAAAGACTGTAATAGATTTTGACTCCATGGCGATTGAACTATGCGTATGGGATCTGAGCGCTATTCGCCAATAATGTGCTCTCAGATCCAGGCTATCTGGGGATATGTGATACGAAAGGGTAACATTCGACAAATGTAAAGTTATATATTTTTATGTGTTTTTCTGTGTTGAATTTAAAATCTCGATTTGCCTCTGTCCTGGAGATAATTGAATTAATTCTCAATTATCTCCAGGGCAGAGGGGAGGAATTACTAATGCATGCTGGGAATATTTTGTGTCTGTGGGTCCTGAACTGCCATATGTCTGTCTATTGTAACAGTCTCCCATTTGGTCCACCAAGTGGGAGACCTGCATAAATACGGGCAGGTAGCCCACAGTAAAGCCAGTTCTTGTTTTACCGTCAATGTGGAGCTTGGTCTTGTTATTGGGGGGATTTATTACCGACGACTAGAGACTGCTGGATGGGATTATTAGCCGCTTGGGAGATACCTGCGTTCAGCTAATATTGGCGATTCGTGAGTTTGGAGCTCGTGGAGTGAAGTGCCCGTACGGATCCCGTTCGTGAGTTTGCAGCGTTCCCTTGCTTGCGGTTCGCATGATTATACTGGATATGCATGCAGCCTATGTTATTGCGAAAGGGGAGCATTCACTAAACGGCGGTTTGTACATTTCATGCTGAGGGTACCCTAACACCGCCGAACAAGTATATCCACCAAGCGGCTTTCGACTCCAGCAATCAGTCTCTAGTCGTCGGTAATAAATCCCCCCCAATAATGAGACTACGCTCCGCATTGAGGGTCAAACAGGATCTGGCTTTACTGTGGGCTACCCGCCCGTATTTATGCAGGTCTCCTACTTGGTGGACACTCCGCTAGGGGACCAAATGGGAGACTGTAATTACAGATGGACATGGAGACATTACAGACATGCCGTTACAAACTTTTCCCACAATGCAGTATGGTTTCCTCCCCTCTGCCCTGGAGATAATTGAGAAGTAATTCGAAAGACGTATCGCCATCTTAAATAAAATACCAGAAAACACACAAAAATATATAATTTCACAACCACCGAACACTCTGCATTCGTATCACATATCCCCAGATAGCCTGGATCTAAGTGCATATTATTAGCGAATAGTGATGTACCGAACGGTTCGCCGGCGAACGGTTCCTGGCGAACATAGCATGTTCGCGTTCGCCACGGCGGGCGAACATATGCGCGGTTCGACCCGCCCCCTATTCGTCATCATTGAGTAAACTTTGATCCTGTACCTCACAGTCAGCAGACACATTCCAGCCAATTAGCAGCACACC